TTTGGACCATTTCTGCAAATACAGAACTACCCTTCATGCATTATGATTTGCTAATGTTGGGAGTGATGTGACGGTAATGATGCCCTGTGCGAGCCACGGGGGAAAGTTGAGAGAGGCCAACACACATACACACACATGAAGGAAGCTAAAGTGCCAACCTCTTTGGGCGTCTCTGGAGAATTGATAACAATAACAGTAGTAGGAGAGGTTCTGATAGAATAGACTGGTCCATATATCTCTGCCCATCTTGTGAATGTCTTGTGAGGTTTTTTCTCTTTCAGCTGCAGCAAATTTCCTATAATAGGTAGCCCTGGTACCTCTGCACCAACCCCATAGTAAGAAATCTGAAATCTCATTCCATTTCATTTCAATCTGATAATATCTCAGATAAGAATAAAGATTTGAGCACACAAAAGAAACCCCTGGAAAAGAAAATTCAACAGGAAGAAGAAAAACTGAGCGTATATGTACCTGGGACAGTTGGAAGGCCGGTAGATCCCATCTTACGATCCGATAGCACAAATCTTTAAAGGAAAATCGAGAAGAACGACAAAGTTAGGCCAACAACAGCGACGGAGTTGACAGAGGACACAGTTTGTGAGCACTGAATGAAACGTGCCTTGGTGATCATTTTCACTTTATAGGGTAGACCATTTTACAAGCTTTAAGGGACTTATAAAATCTTATATTATATACACTATTTTTATTTCTATATAAGGAAGATGGTTAATGATTTAATAATTTAATTAGGTATCATTTCATGTTTATTCGTTGTCAAATGTATATAAAATATAAAATTATTGTATAATAATTAATACTGATCAACCAAATATAAAATATATTTTTTTGTTTTTGTTAAATTTATACACGATTTTGATTAAAATTTTAAATTTTATTATAGTTATATTTTTTCATATCATTTTATATCATCAAATCTAAAATAATCGATTATGGACAAAAAGTATTCTGGAGATATTTTTGCAATAGCAGATAAAGTGCCGCAGAGTGAAAGAACTAATATAGTAAACTTCTAGCAATGGACAAAACTCTGGAAACCCATTACTATGTCAAAATACTACACTAGCAGGAAATAAAGATGAAAGGGAAGGAATAAAGAAAGTTTGCTAAACTAAAAGGAGAAAAGTTTGCTGTCATCTTCCTCCAATGGTAAGTGAGGCTGAGACATTGAAAACTTTTATTTTCATTTTAGTTAGGCCGGTTTTGTTTTGATTGTTGACTGAGGCATTAAGTTATATATATCCAGCAGCATATATGGCGATAAAGGATGTTTGGGAAAATTTTGGCATCTCATTCGTTGGAATCTTACATAATTAAATGCCTATATTCACATGATTGATCTTCTGAGTTTTGTTTGGAACTTGTCACTAATTGTGTAGTCCATATATCAGACAAAAAAGACAGCTGTTTTAGTGACAAAAATTTGCAAACAATTCAGTTTTAGGCATGGATCAGCCTAACAAAGCAATAATTTTGCTTTCCAAAGATGCTGCTAAGAAAATATTTAGATGAGGAAACCTGAATTGACACACCAATATCAACCCTCTATCTCAATGAATGTTCTCAGCTTATCCAGTAATCCTGTATCATAGAACCAGTGAGTTCAAGCCTAGTATTTTATGCTAAACCATGCATCACAAATAAAAATTAGAGGTGATTTGGAAATTATGGTGTTGTGAGCGGTGAGTTTTGCCAAAATTTGATTCAAGAAGATTATTAAAAAACATATTAGAGAGATCAAATACCAGAATCTGTCTGTCTGGCAGTGTGGCACTCTCTTTCTGTTTCCCTGCAAGTAAGCCTTTTCCTATATTAGTAGAATATAATTCTAGGCAATTGAAATCAATTGGGCCTGGTACCAGCACAGACAGGCCCCGAGCCTATGGCTAAGGCATTTAGTCACTTGGTTGGGGTTGCTTTGGTGTTTCTTTCTTGGAGCCACACCCAAGCCAAACCCAAACTGTCCTGACTTTTTGATTACTGTATGGAAATTAAAGTTGTAAATTTTAATGTTAGCGCAATTATATCCATTAAAACAAAATCTTCTTGGGACTGTCCTGACTTTTTGATTAATGAAACAAAACCACCTCAATCTCAATAGTATATAAGCAAACGACCATGTTTATTGCAAATTGAAGCGTCACCAAAGGAATTTTCCTTTTTGGAAACCATGTGTACGGTTTATTTTACGTACTTTCGGTACTTCGGAAATTTCATTTTGCTTTGGGCATTTGGTACTTTGAAATTTCTGAGCACTAACATTTTTTTTTTCTTTTCTTATCTGTTTCCATTCCAAGTTGTCTTGTCTGGATCCCAGAAGGAAATTTGTTTTGCCTTCTAGGTGTCAATGTTCTTTAGAAACACTAAGATTTGGAGTTTCTTAAATAATTGACCACTATCCAACTCAACATGTCCAAATTTTTATTGCATGGATCAAAGAAGAATCAGATGATTTTTATAATAAACTCTAGAAGATAAGAGAGAAATTTGTCTGTATAATTGATTTGTTCAACACATTAATTATGACCTTTTTCCCAGTCTTTCTTCCATTGTTTATTGTTTATTTGAATATCATGATGCTGTCCTTCTTATTTGACGACATTTATCAATATATTATATGCTTGTCCCAGCAGTATTCAGGCTATAGATTGGATGGTGAACGAATATGTCGTCTTTGGGGTTTAGATTATTGTGCCATGAACTCTGGCTTTTTCTGGCATTTTCTTGAAAGGCCATTGGAGATGGTAAGACCATGATTTGCAAGGGAAATGGCCAAACCAAAAGCTTCACTCTGATCAGCAAACAATAGCGATATTATTGCCATAAAGAAGGATGCAGAAAAGACATCACCCACCAACATTTGCATGGCTGTCTCATCTCGAGAATTAAAGAGAAAAATTTTAAGCTAGAGTGGCTTGGATATTGGTGAACTTTATGGCAAAGATAAAAAATTTAAATGAAATTGACATCAGAAGAAAAGTGATTCAACAAAAATTTAAAGAAAGAACAGAAAAAGCACCCAAAGCAAAATCCATCACTTCAAAAAAGCCTCCCTCCTTGTTCAATTGCTTACAAATTTTAGTCATAAATGTCTACCTACCATAGAGAAAAGTGTTGTTTTTGTGCTCTAAAACCCTGTTGTTCTACAGGGACATCAAGGACCACAAACGTGCCAAGTGAAGTGAGGAACAGCATTTAAGAGCAAAGACATACAGCATCGAGGTTCGTGCTGTCAAACAAAAACACAAGTTTGAAGTTTGGAATGTTACTACATACTTACTCCAAAAATCTCAGTTACATGACGAGTCACGTTGTTGTTGAAAGAAAAAAAATAAAAAATGGGGCATGTGCATGTCAAATACTATACTATTATCAACCAGCTATTTCATTTTTAATCAGTTATATACTAATGTGTGGATTAAACTTGGAGATTGGGACTATTAGCTCAATAATTCTGTTGCTTTCTTCTTTTTAGCTTCAGAAGTTTTCTGGTTGGGCAGTTTCTGTTGTTTTTTCTTCTTCTGTTGGCTAAGTTGGCTTGTTTCTTTGGTCCTTTTTGTTTCTTGTCTGTATTGCTCCTTTTCCTTCTATTCTAATACCACTCTTCAGAAGTTTATCCAAATAATTTGTAAAAGCTTACATTGTCAGACAAATCTAAGTTTCCAAATAATTAGTTTAATTTTCTCTACAAATTATTTTTCTTTTCAACCCCACTTGTCAAAGGACAGGACTATAAGAAATCTAAAAGATATTAATTTATTCATTTTGAATGTCAGAAGAGATATTGAAAAAAATTGTAAATGTTAATTTAATAAAAAGATTATTCAATGTTTTTATCCTAAATACAAGATAAAAACATTGAAGGTTTACATGATATAGACTTAAAAAAAAAGAAGAGAAAACACAAGAAAAAAGGTATTATAAACAAAAAAATCTGATTTTGAGAAGAAGAAAAAAAATATTGGGAACAAAACTTCACAGCCAAGCAAACTCCCATGTTAAATGTTTTGTTGGAGACATGGGTATTCACATACAGTTAGATACCTAATTACTAGTTTTCAGACAATCTTGAAAGTTGAAATATAAGGGTCGTTGAAAATTCGAGGTCATTAAAAAAAATAATCCTTGACAAAGAGGAAAAGTAAAAGCAATTCCTTTTGACATACAACTTGAAAACTTTAACGGTGAATTTCAAAATTTTGATACCTAAATTTAATATAAAAGAAAAACAAAATTCATTTTTTTTTTTTTGAAAATGTCAAGTCAAAATTTTAATGTGACAATGAAAAGTCCAATCGACACTCGTCTGTTTTCTAATATTCCTCAAAAACTCGTTGGAATCCTAGGTGATAGCCCAAAAAGTCATTCCTACCCTGACTGCAATTTAATTTTCCCCTTGGGTGGATGAGAAACAAAGGAAAAATCGAGCGATGATAATCAACAGGAATTTAGTAGGTAGCTTTGCTTGAGGAGGCCATTGATGTTTGATTGATTGTCAGATGAACAAACCATTATTGTTAGTATTATTAGAATTATGCTTTCTTAGGAAATTCTTAGCTACAAATTTTGATCGATTGAAGTTAACAAGGCCTATAAACATTATTAGTGAGGTAAAGTTTGAAGCATGTTAGGGTTTAAGATTCAATCTAAATCATTGCTCCTTTAAAAATTATGTATTGGATTTGCATAATTTGCATCATTGCATAGATGGGGTACATTACATTTCACATTCAGACATATGGTTCTACAATAATCTAAACAAATTTATTGGCACAAAAAGGAACAGTAAAAATTAAACAAACACTTCCTGGAAGCTTGGATGCACCTATGGCATCTTTTCTGTTATGGATTGGTTGTCCACCACTACAGAGATTTTTCATATTGTACAAAAGATTTAAAACCAAGAGTTGGAATAAAAATTGCTTGGGTTGATAAAAACTCGGTATGTTGAATAGAAAGTACACTCTGTATGTGAAGGAGTTTGTCCTAGTGAAGAAAGAGACAGAGCTGGCCGATGGAGAGGGGCAAAATGGTACAGTCAAAAAGTGAGGTGTAATAATGGTGCGCAAAGGAGAAAGGCAGCGGCATTCAATGCAGAGATGTTTGTGTTAACTGCCAGTAGTAAATGAGGTATTGATTGGTCTGAAAAGGATTGGCTTTTATTTTGCTCTTTGGCCACCGCTACTGCATCTTCAAAGAGAAAACAAAACACACAAACAGAAGGGGTGGTTGGTGAGGGAGCACTGACAGTAGGCCAGCAGTTGTTGAGAGTCTTCTCTGTTTCTCTTCATTGTGCTTCTCTCTTGTGCGCTCTTGTATTTCCTTCTTCATTACTTATCATTTCTTGTTCCTTCTTGGGGAATTTCAAATTGGGGTAGTTTTGTTCTTCTTCCTCTTCTTAAAGAGATGCCTTTGAATCTGGGTTTCACAACTTTGGTGGGGTTGAGACTCGGGGTGTTGTGGAATTTGAATTTGAACCCTCAAATTATGGGCCCTTGAAGGATAATATGCTAAAGCTAATTCTTCTTTGATCAAAGCCCAAGCTTTCTTTTATTCTAACCTGGTATAAATTTTGTTTTCTTTTTTATTCATTCTCTTTTTTATGGCCATTTATTCTTTGATCTTACAAAAGCTCTGAGTCTTAGTTCAACAATCTTTGTTTCTGAATGTTTTGGGCAATAAAGTAAAGGGCTCTGTACCTAGATTACGATTGTTTTCAAAAAGCTAAAGCTTGATTCTGAAACAAAACATAAACCCCTTTTGCTTTCCGCCCTAGTTTTAAACTTGTTTTGCTTTTATTTACGGCTTCTTTGAATTAAACGAGAAAAAAGTTTGGTTCTTGGTTGAGCTTGGGCTGGGTTTGGTTTCTGCAAATTAGCTAGATTTGATACAGTGAGGGAAGAGGGGCAGCCATTGATGCATTTTTCACTATGGAAACCAATATCCTTCTGTGCAGCTTTAGTAGCGGACAGGAAAACCAAAAGGAGAAATGGTTCTGGTTTGAAAGAGGACGTGAAGAGAAAGCCTTCTATGCTCCGCCAATTGCAAGAAAACAAACTCAGAGAAGCTCTTGAAGAAGCATCTGAAGATGGTTCTCTCGCTAAATCCCAAGATATTGATTCTGCGTCTTTGAACCAAGAAGGAAACATGGGACGATCAAGGTCACTGGCCAGGCTCCGTGCCCAAAATGAATTCTTGAATGCCACCTCCCATGTTGCAGACCGGACTTTTTGCTCTGAAGACTCCATTCCAAACCTCCAAGATGCCTTTTCTAAGTTCCTCACGGTGTACCCCAAGTTTCAAGCAACGGAGAAGATTGACCATCTGAGAGTGGAGGAGTATGGGCATTTATCTGAATCTTCTGCTAAGGTATGTCTCGATTACTGCGGGTTTGGGCTGTTCTCTTATAATCAAACTCAAGAGTATTGGGATACATCAACATTTACTTTGTCTGAAATTACTGCCAATTTGAGTAATCATGCTCTTTATGGAGGCGCTGAGAGTGGCACTGTGGAACATGACATAAAGACTAGGATTTTGGATCATTTAAACATCCCTGCAAATGAGTATGGCCTTGTTTTTACTGTTAGTAGAGGGTCAGCATTTAAATTGCTTGCTGAAGCTTACCCTTTTCAAAGAAATAAAAAACTGTTGACTATGTTTGATCATGAGAGCCAGTCTGTGATTTGGATGGCTCAATGTGCTAAAGAGAAAGGTGCTAAGGTTTACAATGCTTGGTTTAAATGGCCCTCATTGAAACTTTGCTCTACGGAGCTGCGAAAACAAATTTCAGACAAGAAAAGGAGGAAGAAAAGCCATGCAAATGGTCTTTTTGTGTTTCCTGTTCAGTCTAGAGTGACTGGGGCAAAGTATTCTTACCAGTGGATGGCCCTTGCTCAACAAAACAATTGGCATGTATTGCTTGATGCTGGGTCATTAGGTCCCAAGGATATGGATTCTCTTGGCTTGTCCTTATTTAGGCCAGAGTTTATTATCACGTCATTTTATAGGTTATTTGGATATGATCCAACTGGTTTTGGATGCCTTCTGATCAAGAAATCTGTGATGGCAAGCTTGCAAAATCAGTGTGGGCATACCGGCTCTGGAATGGTGAAGATCCTCCCTATTTATCCACAGTACCTAGGTGACTCTATAGATGGGCTTGATGTTTTAGCTGGACTTGAAGATGAAACTGTTAAAGACAATGAAGAATCGTTGCCCGAGAGAAATGGTGGATCACAGATGCCTGCCTTTTCTGGTGTTTTCTCTTCTAATCAGGTCAGGGACGTTTTTGAGACTGAGATGGATCATGATAATATTTCAGATAGGGATGGAGCAAGCACCATTTTTGAGGAAGCTGAGAACCTTTCAGTTGGTGATCTCATGAAGAGTCCAATTTTCAGTGAGGATGAATCATCAGACAATTCATACTGGATTGATTTGGGTCAGAGTCCATTTGGGTCTGATAATTCTGGCCAACTGACCAGACAGAAAACAGACTCAAACTTACCGCCATCATGTTTTTCTGGGAAGAGAAACAATAAGCGGCTGTCGCCAAAACTGAATTCAAAAATAACTATGAGTCCAATTTATGGTGACACGAAAATAAACATGAGATTGCACGAAGATCCTGTGTTGTCTTTTGATGCAGCTGTATTGTCAGTGTCACATGAGTCAGACCAATTTAAGGAGATCCCTGAAGAACAGCCTGCTGAAACGGACCCTGCTTCAGGAGATGATGGTAAAGATTCCCACAACTTTGGGGAGATTCAAGAAGAATCTGGTATCAGGGATGAGTCAGAGCTGGCTAATTCTATGTTGAGTTCTAATGTAAATGGATTCAAACTGAAGAATGGTGTGCTTGAAAATACCTTGGCCCCTGAAATCAACCAAGAAAAGAAAGAGAGTGCTATAAGGAGAGAGACTGAGGGTGAGTTTAGGCTGTTAGGAAGTAGGGAAGGGAGTAGGTTTGCCAATGGTAGATTTTTTGGTTTGGAAGAGGAAGATCGAGTGGCAAGCATGGGCCGCAAAGTATCTTTTACTGTGGAAGACAATTGCAATGAAAATCCGAGCCGCTTGGAGCCTGGAGAAATATCATTGACTACCTTGATTAATGAGGAATCTGGTACTGATGAAGAGTATGATGATGAACAAGAGTGCAGAAGAAAGGAGCCTGAGATAATTTGCCAGCATCTTGATCATGTTAATATATTGGGTCTAAACAAAACTACCCTTAGACTGCGTTACCTGATCAATTGGCTTGTTACCTCATTGCTTCAACTTCGGCTACCTAGTTCAGATGAAAGCAGGGGATTGCATCTTGTGCAAATATACGGCCCAAAGATCAAATATGAAAGAGGTGCAGCTGTAGCCTTTAATGTGCGAGACAGCAAGGGAAGAAGACTAATTGACCCTGAAGTTGTTCAGCAGCTAGCTGAGAAGAGTGATATTTCTCTTGGCATTGGTATACTCAGTCATGTACGAGTTGTGGACAATGTGAAGCAGCAGTGCAGGGAACTCGAGCTTGAAAATTCAGCCTTGTACCAGCCAATGGCTAATGGTTGCCAAGATGGTAAAAACTTATTTTTTCGAGTAAAAGTTATTACAGCATCACTTGGTTTCCTGACCAACTTTGAAGATGTTTACAAGACATGGGCTTTTGTGGCCAAGTTTCTTAATCCATCATTTGTTGAAGGGAATGATTTATCCACGGTATCTGAAGGTCCAGAAACATAGATACGGGACGCTTGTACGGAGATTTTGCTTTCATTGAAGGAAAAATTGTAAAACCTAAAAAGATGGACCCTTCTGACACTCCTTGCAACTTCCCCCAAGAAGGCTTCTTGTGACTCAAATTGATCGGAGATATTCAAGCCAACCGGAAAGGATGCAAAGGTATGGTACTGGATGTTTTGTTTCTTTTGCCCTTCCCTTGGATCAATTACTTGTGAGAAGATGGATTTTTTTCTTCATTCTTGTTGAAAATATCTTTTTGGTGTATTAATCGTATTCTAGCATCATGTAGAGTTTGGTTTAAATTGGCATGTCAGCTTCAGATTTAAGTATTTTGTAATGCAAAATAGAATTGAAAAGGTTATGAACACACAGAAGAGAGCTTCCGCTTTTGACAAATGCAGTGAAGTTCAAATCTTGCGCGTATCCTTTGTTTTCTCCATTGTTCTTTCCTCTCTTATTATATATCAGATCGATAATCATCTCCAAAACAATCTGTTATCAGGAAAATTTCTATTTTCTTTTCATCATCCAAGTTTTCAAGCACCAATAAAAGAACCTTTTTGAAGCAGAAATGGTGGCACCAGCTGGAGTTGTGCTACATGAAATTCATTTTTAATCTTATTCTTTTAGATTGTCCTGATAAATCTTTTTTTTTTTTTGTGCAAATAGGTAAGTTGGATACTTAGGTGAGTGGTTGGTAAAGGATTTCTTGTCTGAGCCTATTTTTGTCTGATCATGTGTGAGTTAGGCAGGTGGATTTTGAGTTTTGACTTGTCCATACTATCACATGGGTAAATCCCCCCTTCAGATTTATGACATGTCAAAGTCTTCAATGGCATCTTTCAGCAAGATTTAGTAACCCAATCCCAATCCTTGTTTTTACTCTGCCAGTTTGTCTCTGTTATGCTGAGTTCAATGATGTATAGGTCTGAAATTTGATGAATCCTTTTCCCCAAAGCTCACGTCCCTATATGATATATGTAACATTGAGATAAAAAAAAAAAGAAGAAGCCTTTTTTGGGTTGGACCTGGACAGTTTGCATAATCTATGTTTCTATTGAACTTGCAACATAACTTATTTATTATTTTCTGTTAAATAAGCTTAATGGAAGTAAACTCAATTCATGGAATCATTCGAACTCGATTAAATTTAATTTTAAAATTTATTAATTAAATAAATAGATTAGCGAAACGTAAATTTTTTTTTATGTTTGCATCGATTGCTTAACCTTATTACTTATGCAATAAGCATTTCTTAATATAAGCCCATGGATATGTTGAAAAAAGCATTTCTCAATTCATGGAATCATCAGAATTCGATCAAATTTAATTTTAAAATATGTTAATTAAACAAATAATTTACGAATATAAAATTAGGCCTTGAAAACGGATGGATCTACGGTAACTGTTAATAATGATGTTAGTAAAAAAAATTTGCCTAATATTTTAATTACCGAAGGCTTCGCTCTCTGCTGACATGACAGGTTTCAGTTAAACCCGGGTTCAGTATTGCTGTCAGCATTTTCCACGAGCTCATATTATTATTGAATTACACTGCAAGATTAACGAATCAAAGAGATACGTGTGACACACCGCCTCCAAATCGGCTAAGATCACAACCCAAACTAAAGGGACAAAACAGGAATTTCGAAAAAGGGTCCGAAGTTTTTCTCAAAGAACTAAACGGTGTCGAAAAAAAAAAAAACTGTTTTGTTCTCTCTTCATCAATTTGCTCCTCCTGATTCCCGGCAAAATTTTTTATTTTCTTTTCTTGTTTTTACCCTTATAATTCCACGAAATTTTATTGATTTAATGAGTAAAAGAGCTTTAAAAGGGGTCAAGAAAGCAAATCAAACGCTGCAGCAGCGCTGTTGAAATCGAGACGACCACACTTTCTCAACGTTTTCTCCTCTACTTCAAGTGCCAACCGCCTTTATCCTCAATGCAAAAGTTATGGTTTAGTGAAAATATTGTTATGAATTCCTTTTTAGCTTAGCTAATTATATTTACTTGGAATGTTGCTGATGTTTAACAGAAAATTCCAGTGGGGTTTAACAGAAACTTGGAGGGAAGAATTTCTGAGTCAGTTTTGTTAAAAGGACCAAGTGGGTATAGTTGCGTTGTTGAATTAGCTTAAAAACATATTGACTTGTTCCTTGATGAAGGGTGGGCTGATTTCATCAGAGATCATAGCTTAGAATGTGGTGATTTCTTGGTTTTTAAGTATGATGTGACTTGGTTTTCGATGTAAAAGTTTTTGATCAAAGCACTTGCAAGGAAGAAGTTGTTTTTCATTGTAAATGCAATCAAGGTGGGAGTGAGTTTGATGGAATTGTGGGGTAAAAGAGAGATGGGGAGGATAGAGGTGTTACATTGGATCAAGACTGTGAAGGGGTTTTAAAGAGAAGTAGAGGGAGCTCTTCAGAATCCGACGAGGATGTGTCAGATAAAGACCATTATGGGCATGAGTTGATACTTGCAACTAAAACTTGTCAAGGATTAACTTCCTGTGATGAAAACCATGGCAAGGAAATGAATCTCTTTCATTCTTCGGGATTTGTGTATCAAATATGGTTTTTGTATTGAATTGGCAATGTTCTCTGTTATAAGAAATTTGTTGCTTTTCTTCAAATTCATTATTCTAGAAAGCAATAGCCACGACAGCAAGTCAGCAACAAAAACTTGTTTTTTACAAGCACTAGGTAAAAACTATGGTATCAATGCAAGTGGAGTCTTATTTAGTATTCAATATCTTATCTTAGCGTAGATACCTCTTTTTCTTGTTGAATTTGCCTCTCATAGAAATGCAATGCAAGAAATTTCGTGACTGTGTAATTGTGCATACGTGTGAGAACAGTCAATCCGATTCTTGTTGGAACTTCACTGATGATTTATATCACATGATCTTCCTCCTGATAGAGACTCCCGTCTCTTGAAACAGATGGAACCATCTTGAAAACAACTGAAAAAGAAGATGACTTGGATCTGCATGGCAGAGGCTGTATACATATGTTAGGAGAATTTGAAGAGAAAAAAGTGGCTCAATCTTTTGATTCATGCTTCCCCTTTTTTGTAAGAATTATGAGAAGATTCAATGTCAGTGGCTCATATACATTGGTAAGCTGTTTCCTTCTCAGTTTTTCGCCCCAGATTTTTGTCTAGGACATTGTTTTCACAAGCCTACGTGTGCATCAGGTAATTTTCATTGTGCATCGTGCTATTGTATGAATGTAAAATTCGGCAAACGTGTAGAGTGTTAAATCACTCTGCACTCTAGAAACTTTTCTTAATATTGATCCTTTGGCTTTTGGAGCTGCGAAACAAGTTTCTTAACTTATTGATCATCATGCATTTACATCTCTGGCACTAGTTGGCAACAACTTCCTCCTACTACAGGATCTAGACAGCCTTCTTAATAATTAACTTTGTGCTTCCACGTGGAAATTCTTCTAGCCATTACCTGCTGTCTTGGATCAACTAGTTACATCTTTCAGGATATCTTATTTAGAAACCATGAAACCTGCTTAGGTACTACTTTTTAATTTTTTGTGACCCAGAATATTCCATATCAGTTTTGCAATGGAACATCTCCCTAAGTGCAAGACTGAGATTGTGCGTCGGAATCTGAAAGGAGCTTGTTGGCTGTGAATTCTGTTCCAACAACAAGAGTGCATACAAGTCATACTTTATGCCGTGGATGGTTGGACTTTGTCCATAGTAATGAAATTGAGGTTGGAGACATTTGTATTTTTGAATTTGTGCGCCAATTTGAATTGCGTGTGCATATTCTTCGGGTTGGAAAAGGAAGGCCCTAACAGGCAAAGTGGAAAAGCAGCTACTATTGTGTTAAGTGACAGGTCTGGAATCTGTTATTGTCATTATTACCTTCCAGATAGACATAATCAGGTAGCATATGCCAAACCTGATTGTTGAATGGCTGCAGGAAGGGAATTATTGGGTTTCTTTTTTAAACAAAATCCCTCTTTTTTTTCGTAGAAGATTTTAGTTTGAGGATAAAAACAAAAGATTGTAATTATTAGAATTTAAATTTTAAATTTGATAAATATTATATATTAAAAAGAGTTTGCATAAATCAATTGAAATAAATATTGATTCAAAAATTTTCTCAACTTTTATTATACAATGTAAAATTATTATGTAAAAGAAATGAATTTAATAAGTTTTCAAGCTGAAAATTTTCAGACATACATGGAATAAATATCTTTAAAAATTATTAGCTGAAAAAATATTTATGTTATTCACACAATTACCAAAAGAATGTAGTAAATATTCATTCAAATAGTATATTTTACTACTACTATATAGGAAATGAAAATAAATGTCATCAAACATGATTGTCTTCAAATCCATTATGAGAAAGAGAGAGAGAGCCAAAGGTCAAAAAAAGAAAAGTCCACGATTGGGATTACCAGATGTATATTTCAATGATTTATAGCAATATGAAATGAAGTAGACAAGCATAATTTGCAATGATTTATAGAACAAGTGGGAGTGCACTGGCAAGATGTGTTTCAGTGTTTCCAAACTTGACCTCAAACCAAAAGGTCGTCCTTAAGATGATCTCTCAGAGACTTCACTTTTCATCAGTCTCGGTCTCCCTTACAAAATTATGATAAATTGTTCTCATTCGCCTGTCAAATTAACAAGATATGTAAAGCAAATTTATTCATCATTATTTGCTTATGCTTTTAACACTTATATATTGTCTTGTAATCTTATGTGTTTGGTTATGTTGAAAGAGTGCACAAGGGTTTGGGTTTGTGTTTGTTTGGGTTAAGAATACTCTATAGGACTATAGGAGATTGAGAGTGTCTTATGAGTATTGATTGTTGAGTGAGGTTGATGATTTGATGTATGTTTGTAATTCTCTACAACTAGTGGATCTTTTTTCTCATCCATGGATGTAGGTCAGTTGGATCGAACCACGTTAAATTGTTGTCTCTTTTATGTGTTTGCTTTATTGTTTGATTTCGCTTCCGCTGGTGTGATTGGATTGGAGGCTTTTAGCCCAACAAATGGTATCAGAGCTGTGGTGATCCCCAACAAGTGGTATCAGAGCTGAAGGTTCAAAACGTAAGAAGAGTTGAAGATTCAAGATGTGGAAAGAGCCGAAGGTTCGAGACGTGGAAGAGTTGACGGTTCGAGATATGGGAAGTGCATGGTTTGAGACATGGGAAGAAGCAAGTCCAGAAGAGCTCGATTCAAGAGAAGAGTTCGAGTTCAAGTTTTGAAGATTAATGATTGGTTTGTATGAAGCGTGAAGACACAAGAGAAGAGAAGATGATTGTAAGACTTCCATTGTAGGTAAAGCCAAGCATATCTAGCATGAAGACAGATGATTGATGGAATTTGAGTCAAGGTGAAGATTGTTGGGAATATTGACTTAAATCCCATAAGAGATTTGTTAGAGATTTGTTTGAGATTTGTCAGATATTGCTTGATGGACAAGAAGACTTACAAAAGAAGAATTCCAAAAAAAAGAAGATTCTTAATAGGTAAGTTTGACTTGCAAGAGAAGAATTCTAAAAGGAAAAAGATTCTTAATAGGCAAGTTTGACTTACAAGAGAAGAATTCTAAGAGAAGAGGGATTCTTAATGGGCAAGTTTGTATGGTCATAAATATGTGAACTCTTTACAGGGTTAGGTATGAGAAAAAGATGTAAGAGAGTTGTAAGGTTTTGTGGGATAGACACCCCATAGGAGTATTGGGGCTCTACGTCTTATGGGTGTGTATGTTTGTTTGTGAGTGGACTAGAGGAGACTGAGAGGGTCCACATAGGTATGATGTATGGGAGCATATGGGTATGTGTTTGGTTATGTTGAAAGAGTGCACAAGGGTTTGGGTTTGTGTTTGTTTGGGTTAAGAATACTCTATAGGACTATAGGAGATTGAGAGTGTCTGTGAGTATTGATTGTTGAGTGAGGTTGATGATTTGATGTATGTTTGTAATTCTCTACAACTAGTGGATCTTTTTTCTCATCCGTGGATGTAGGTCAGTTGGACCGAACCACGTTAAATTGTTGTCTCTTTTATGTGTTTGCTTTATTGTTTGATTTCGCTTCCGCTGGTGTGATTGGATTGGAGGCTTTTAGCCCAACAAATGGTATCAGAGCTGTGGTGATCCCCAACAAGTGGTATCAGAGCTGAAGGTTCAAAACGTAAGAAGAGTTGAAGATTCAAGATGTGGAAAGAGCCGAAGGTTCGAGACGTGGAAGAGTTGACGGTTCGAGATATGGGAAGTGCATGGTTTGAGATATGGAAAGAAGCAAGTCCAGAAGAGCTCGATTTAAGAGAAGAGTTCGAGTTCAAGTTTTGAAGATTAATGATTGGTTTGTATGAAGCGTGAAGACACAAGAGAAGAGAAGATGATTGTAAGACTTCCATTGTAGGTAAAGCCAAGCATATCTAGCATGAAGACAGATGATTGATGGAATTTGAGTCAAGGTGAAGATTGTTGGGAATATTGACTTAAATCCCATAAGAGATTTGTTAGAGATTTGTTTGAGATTTGTCAGATATTGCTTGATGGACAAGAAGACTTACAAAAGAAAAATTTCAAAAGAAAGAGGATTCTTAATAGGTAAGTTTGACTTGCAAGAGAAGAATTCTAAGGGAAAAAAGATTCTTAATAGGCAAGTTTGACTTACAAGAAAAGAATTCTAAGAGAAGAGGGATTCTTAATGGGCAAGTTTGTATGGTCATAAATATGTGAACTCTTTACAGGGTTAGGTATGAGAAAAAGATGTAAGAGAGTTGTAAGGTTTTGTGGGATAGACACCCCATAGGAGTATTGGGGCTCTACGTCTTATGGGTGTGTATGTTTGTTTGTGAGTGGACTAGAGGAGACTGAGAGGGTCCACATAGGTATGATGTATGGGAGCATATGGGTATGTGTTTGGTTATGTTGAAAGAGTGCACAAGGGTTTGGGTTTGTGTTTGTTTGGGTTAAGAATACTCTATAGGACTATAGGAGATTGAGAGTGTCTTATGAGTATTGATTGTTGAGTGAGGTTGATGATTTGATGTATGTTTGTAATTCTCTACAACTAGTGGATCTTTTTTCTCATCCGTGGATGTAGGTCAGTTGGACCGAACTACGTTAAATTATTGTCTCTTTTATGTGTTTGCTTTATTGTTTGATTTCGCTTCTACTGGTGTGATTGGATTGGAGGTTTTTAATCCAACAAATAGTATCAGAGCTGTGGTGATCCTCAACAGCATAATGGGGTTGCGCAGACCAGCCCAGTTCCCGAAGCGAAAACAGTTCAGCTCAGTCCAACACCTACGTGGGGAGTGTCAACTGTCAATTGCCAAGTGTGTTTCACGTGTTTCCAAACTCTTGCAACACTCCAAAACCAAAAGGCTCGTCCTTTAAGATGACTCTCTCAGATATTGACTCTCACTTTGGGTCTCAGTCTCGGCTCTTCAACCTACAAAATTGTTCTCTCTCGTGTACAAACCAATGTATGATATTTTACTCATTTTGCTTGCTTTTGCATTTTCATTTCAATGCCTTTGGATTCTTCATTGCTTCTAATGGAACAATGGATTGAGAAACAAATGAACCATTAAAGCAAAGATTTATCTCATTAATAACTAAAACCAGGTCAAGGTTCACTTTTGGCTTATTAATAACTTATTATTTTCCATTTGCTAATCTATTTTCTCTGGTGTCTTAGCTATTACTCTCACAAAGTTGGAGCATATCTGGTTTTTCAGGGTAAGTGATTTACATCTAGCATTTTTGTACATGAGTTAAAATTTAGTCTGCTTCTGGTGGGTTTTCTCTTCTTTAAATTATTCAGCTTCTAGAGATCTGCAGTCCTTTTTTAGTGTGATGGGTCGTCAACTCTTTTTCTCTTTTCTTAATCATCTGAATTTTGGGTGCAGAGCTGTGTGGTTAAGCCAATGGGAGATACGTGTAAGGATTGTAGGAGCTTGGAGGAGGAAATCTTTTGGACCCATTTTCAGTCCATTCATTTCTCTCAGTTTCTCCGTGGGGATTTTCTTCAGCGGCTTGTAAGTCCGTCTTGGCACTGCCTCTTCTGTTGCCTGTCCTGCTTTGTGCTTTTGATTGCTGTATATTTGCTTAGTTGAAAATGGAACTCTCAAAAATCAAGAACGTTTCAGTACATAGGTCATTCCTTGACTTTACCAGGGGGTAAACTGACCACCCTTTTTGGACACTAATTTTTATGTAATTGCATGCATTTGGGGTGTTTTTCTCTAGCAATCAAGCTGCAAACTCGAAGGGTGAAAGAGTGATCTTGTTATCATATTCCACAAGTCTGCATGCCTATCACATTTACGACATTTTGGATTTTGGTGTAGGAGACATGGGGTATTAGGCAGGCTTTTGGCAATCACTTTTAACCTCTCTTTGGTTTGTTCTTTGCTAGAAAATTCAGTAATTTTAGAGATTTAGGAGTTGCTGCGCCTTTGTTCATATTACTTTTCCTTTGATATTGGATAGTTCAAATTTTCTAATAATGAGTTTCACATTGCATCTTAATGATCAATGAAACTGCAGGAAATACCAGAAAAGTTTGCTAAGAATATTAAGAAAAAACTTCCGGAAACTGTGACTCTTAAAGGTCCTAGCAGTATCATATGGGATGTAGGACTGACAGCAGATGATGATACCTTGTTCTTCGATCGTGGATGGAAAAATTTTGTAAAAGACCATTCTATGGTAGAGAATGACTTTTTGATCTTCAAGTACAATGGAGTGTCCCATTTTGATGTTCTAATGTTTGATGGCCAGAGCTTGTGCGAGAAGCCATCTTCTTATTTTGTGAGGAAGTGTATGCATACAGAATTTGACAGTGGACACCAAACAAAAGGAAACATGAAGGAAAATCCTGATGAAATTGTGCACAATTCTTCACGATGTGGTCTTGAAAGCAGTCCAGAAAAATCTACTAACGATGACATTGGCACCAGGCCATCAAGACAACCTAAACTCTACAGCTACTAATAAGAAGATGCCAAATGTGGGTTCTTCTACTATGTCCTCCATCCATGGTAGGCAGAGCCTTGGAGGCAAAGAGCTTTCTACTCTTGCTGGAAAACCAAAGTTTGAAACTGGTAGGAGCAAATTTAAAACTTATTCTATCCATAAAACCTGCTTTCCATGGTAGATTGCAGCCTACTTTTTATTGTTGACACTGCAATATTATGGTCTTTACAATGGTTTCTGGAATTTCTTGGTGATTTATTGGATATTCATTTGTTGTGCCTCATTGTTTTCAGACCCACTTTAGGAATCTGTCTTGTAATTAATGACTTAAATTAAAATGTAATATGTCGCCTTGCTAGAAACTCAAATTGGGTGACTGATGATTGTACTCTCTTTTCCATCATAATATATAAATGATTCAGAGTTTGAACATACAACAATGAAAGGAGATGTCTTTTGTGGTCCGCGCCCAACTTGTAAAAGGCCCGTGACTGAAGTTGAGAAAACAAATATCATCTTAAAGGCACGGGAAGCATTAACCAAAGAGGGTTTTATGGTAGTCATGAAGCCCACGCATGTAGGGAGACGATTTTATATGGTAAACTTTGCCCTTGAACTTGATCGAACTTTTGGTTTATAGGGCTTTCCTTTTCTCAATGACACTGTCTTTTATTCGTCCTATTTATTAACATTAGCAAAAAGATTGGTAGTTTATGGTTTGTGCATTTGCCTTGTTTCTCCAATCAAATTCAATGATGGTGTTAAAGCTCAGCCTTGTTTCTTGCATTTTCTGGTCCATTCAGGCAATTCCTACTGCATGGATGGCTAAATACCTCTCAAAAGAAAGCGCAGATGTGATTCTACGTATTAACAAGCGAGTATGGAGGGCCAGATTTTATTATCCTGGAAATCGTGATTATGGAGGGCTTTCTTGTGGGTGGAGGAATTTTGTGAATGATAACAACTTGGAAGAACATGATGTTTGTGTATTTGAGCCTGCCAATATAGGAAGAAAACCAATCATACTGGATGTTAGCATCTTTCATGCTCTCCGAGCAGCAGTTCCTCTGAGCCAAGTAAACCCTGCCTCGAGCTAAAGGTTGTCCCAAAATGCTTGGAGACAATTATATCTTAGCATCTGCCAGACATGAACTTGCAATTCAGTCATGGCATCATGGGTTCGTATATAAGCTATGGATGTTTGATATGTTATTAACTTGTAGTTTTGAAAGGCAGTTAATCTGCTCTGCTGGTAGCCTACTGGAAACTCGATCAGGCTGTAAAACTATATATGTTCAGATGGTTAATTTTCTATCTTTTTCTATTTGCGCGGGCTCGGTTGCTGGTGTTGTTTGATTATCAACCATATTGATGTTCAGCAAACCTCCTCTAATCTATCGTAGAGCCAAACTGTTAACAATAACATTTGAAACTAGACTGATATCTTTGTTTTCATGCATTTTCTACTGCCATTGATGAACCTGCTTGAAGTCTAACCTCTATATTGTTGGTTCTGTACAAATTTATCCCACGTTTTGAGACCCGACCTGACATAATGGCATGTTTGAAGAGCTTCCTCCTTTAAAGGGCCCATCCCCTCATCTCATGTTTCTCCAATCAACTGCTTCTCTCCATACGGCACTTCCTTTGGTTTCCCTCCCTGTCTGCAAAATCCTGCACGATCGATCTCAAAGATAATCCCGAACCCTTTCATTTCAGCAAAATCCGATAGAGAACATCCAAAGTGGTTTACATTGGAGGAATAAGTTCCTATAGAGGTCTCAAAACAAACAAAAATTTTGTTTCCTTTGAGTTGCCAGTGTGCACCGAGCAGTGCTTTGCTAATGTTGTCAGCTCCTTTAAGGCGCATGGCAAGGAAAGAACAAGTTGGGAAGCCCTACCCTCTACGTGCAATGAAAAGCCTGAGCATCTTTAGAAGAATCTGAGCAGTGACAGTGAGCACTTTTGTGTTCAAGGATTTGTCTTGCTTTGGTGACAAAAACCTCTTTTAATCTTTTGTCCAATGTTGATGCGAATTCTTTTTGGTTGTTTCCTTGAAGAGAAGGTATGGAACAATAATGCTACCAAATTCTACATTTAAAACTTTTCTCTATTTTTAGGAGATACAAAATTTGAGTATCATGCCTTCGGCGAAAATCTTTGTATTAATGTTAGATAGTTCCAACAACAATAAAAACCTTTAAACTACATCAAAGACAATTGAAACTTAATGCAGACAACAGAAGAACCTGAAGAAAAACTGAGTAGGAAAGAATCTCGTGAAGTGGAATTGATAGCCAATGAAAATCTCGATGCAGGGCGTAAAATATGCTCCTCATACAGAGGGCCTTTGGCATGCAGAAAACAATTGCCAACTAATAAAAGCCATCACCAAAGATGTGAACAATTCAAAGCCGACCACCTTTGGAAAGTGCCATCCCAATCCTCGCCTTAGATAGCTGCCAAAATTTAGCCAAGGAAAAAGTTTTCATTGAGTATTTAAGCAAAGACCATGTATATAATCTTACGATTTAACATAAAAGGTTAGGTTGTGGCCAAGCAGAAACAAAGAGAAAGTTGTGGGCAGATGTGGTGACAAGTTAAAACAGACCTTGTAATGGATGGCATGGTTGCAACAATTGCAGCACATGCATATATTATGGGAATCAATGTCTTGGGCTTGTTCTTGCGAAGCCACATCAAAGATCCCAATGCTGCAAGAGATATACTCAACACCTGAATTGAGAAAAGGATAGAGATGTCCATAAGGAGCGAGATTAATTCTAATTTCGCTTTTGATTAGAGAAACACATAATTCTAAGATCTTGCTGTTACACAATCATTATTCTAATCTCTGAACACCTCTGCAAATTGTAATTAACTACTGATACAGAAACAAGAATGCACAACAAAGCAGTTGGAAAAGAAACATTCCAACCATTAAGAAATGAACATACCAAATTAGCATTTGCTTCCAGGCCTTGCAGAATGTAATCCCAAGTGAATTCTAGTCCTCTTGCTCCTACCCAAAGGGGTGCCAATCTATGTAGAACTGAATCAGCAAAAGCCCATCCTATCAACATGGAAAGAAAGAAGCCATAGTGCTTAAGTTAGCAAGTGAAAAGAACCATAAAAATATGCTAGATGAAGCTCATCTCCACATCTTCAAATAAAAAATTTTATCCATCTATTATGTAGAGTATTACTGATTTTAAATTTCTGTCCTCAATGGTTTGCTAACTGTTAAAATCAGGGAAAAACTAGCATCAAACATTCACTAAAAACAGTATTGGCAAAAACTACTCCAAATTAAGATATTACTCCACAAATACTTCAAACTAGAATATTAAGTGATTTCAAGCTTCTTGGACTGAATTTAGTATGAAAATTCTATTAATATCATGATATTTATTTTATTTGTTACAAATATCAAGCCTTGCTGGCTTGCTCCTAGTAATTCAACTCAACAATAATTTAGATGATCTGATGAATTGTGACACCCTTAAGGGTCAAAACCCACAAACATAAAATGATGCTTTTTTTTCTTATTTTTATTTGGAAGGGGGGAGTGGGTAGTAGGAAGGGGACAAAGCTGGATTTCAACTTAAATGATTGAGTCAAAATCTCACTCACCGAGTCCTACAGCTTGAAATTTATGATTTTGAGAGATGTTCCTGTGAGTCAACTGTGTTAAAGCAAAATAAAGCCCAGCAACATCTATAAAACCAATCAGTGCTTTCAAAAGTTCCTGAAAACGCATAAGTAACATGATTACTGATAAGTTGCAATACATAGATTGTCCATTAAGAGTCATGGCAGTGTAACAAGCCATATCACTACCACACCCTTGTGCAACTGTACACAAGAAAGTAGTTTCACATTATTTTCTAGCTAGCTAACTTTTACATCATCTTCAATCTAACGAAAAAAACTAGATCAAACAAAACAGCCACAAATTAAAATAAAAATTTGCAAACATGTATAATTAGCGCAAAATTTGCATTCATTCATACAGATTCAAATTTCAAAACTAAAAGAATTAAAATACCTGGTATGGATCAAAGCCATCAGTCTCAGACACCTTCAAAAACGTTGCCAGGCAAACAAGCTGCCACCATATAAAATCAAAACAAAACAAATTAGCTATCCGAAAAGTGTCCCGATAAACACGAGATTAAAGTTTAGCACGCACGATATTTACATGTTGTACTGACCTTTACCAAAGCTGTTCCGAGATAAACAAGGGCAGTTTTAACAGAGGTACCAAGCGTATCATACTCCGATCTGCATAAACATAATTTACTATTAGTAAACTAACTAAATTTTTTTCTACAACAACATCCAATCAGTTCCAAATTATAGCTTTTGAACAATTTGATCAAACTATTTTAACATTTGTTTAATAGATCTTAGCTCATTCTTGCTTAAAGCGGAGTTCTTGTTTCGATTTTGAACGAACAGATCGGAGTTTGAGATTTAACTAGAACTCATTTTCATTAAATTTTACGAAATTAAAGATATTTAAAAAAAAGGTAAAGAATCGAGCAAAGAGGGAGGGAGTTACAAGGGAGTGGCGGAGTAGTAGACGGCGTGAGGACCGAAGGTGAGAATCGCACAGTTGAAGAAGTGAAACATCGTCATTTTTTTTTTTTCTGATTTCAAGTTTCGATCTGATCTTTCAAACAAGCGATAATTTATTTCTCTCTTGTTTTTCAAATCTGGACTCCGCTTAGCTTCGCGAGAACGAGTCATCTGTTTCAAATTAGGCCCGGAAAGGACCCGTTACATTTCCGGCCTCGATTATACATTTGAAAACCCATTTAGTCTTGAGCTACAACATTCATATTTCTATGGGCAATGGGCCCGTTGAAATAACAAGTTTAGATTTTTCATACTCGACGATATTGACAGACGAGATTAAAATATCGTACAGGTCATTTTTTATCATATTAATTTCGTTGATGTAGTTTTTAACTTTGAATGAGCTATTCGTGAGAATTTAAAATATGATATGATGATAAGATATGAATATAATATAAAAATAATTATGAAAATAATATAATTTAAAATTTTAATAATAATTATCTATAAATTTAACAAAAAAAAAATATTTCATATTTTTGTGTCATTACGAACTATAACATGTAATTTTTATATAAAACATATGTTAATATATAAATTTTAATATTTTATAAAAATGAATATACGAAATGCCAGAATTTGAGAAGGAATGAAATAATATTTTTATTATATATATTAGGATGTGCCTTATTTATTTTAAAAGATTTTTATTATTTTTATACTAGAATTCGAACTAAAATTTTCAAGTACATATCAAAATATTTTAATTTAAATTGGGTATTTGAGTTTAAGAAATGTTATTATTTCATTATTTGTAATCTTTGTTTTTATATAAAAAAATGCAGCCTTTTATTTTCAAAATAGAAAAAACTATAATAGCAAATGTGACAATTGGACAAAGTCTTATGCATTAATTAAACAAAAAGATTACAAATAATGATTTTCTGACCCTTTCCAAATATGCCAAATATAGGGCTGTATTTTGAACCAATTTTTTTATATGTCTGTTCATCCCTTGTTCATGACATTACTTGGCTTCTAGATTAATTACCACATTCACAGGCTAGTGGTTAAACTTGGATTCAATCTGCTTAATGGGTTAAACAGTCTGATCCTTCTAATTTTCATTTTTGATCTTGTTTGTTTGTTTTTTTCTCTCAACCCATCGAATAGAAAGCGATCAAACTCCAAATTCTTGACATTGATCATTTCCCAAATTAAGTTTCTCTTAGCCGTATGACGTTTTCTAACAATGTAAAAACAAAATTATTATGGCATATAATATATACTTTTTTTTTTCAAAATCCCTTCAGATTTTTTTTATCTTATTACTTACATAACTAAAAAAAACATTACGTATATAAATTTTGTTGAATCTGTAACATTTAAATATTAATTTCAATAACATATCAACTAATTTAAGAAACAATCGACAACATCTAATATATGCTTTATTATTCATTTTATCTTTCTAATGATGTCTCTTAATATCGGACAAGGAATTAAGGGTAGAGTACAACCTGTTGCCAATCAGGAAAGCTGACCATTCTAATCACTATTCTTTAGTATTCATGTCATTTTCATGTGATCATTTTAGAAGAAAAATCTGTATTAATAAATATAGAAATGATATATTTATTTCTTTAAATTTTAATTTATTAATTACTCAAAAACAATTAGACGCATAAATATTTGACAATGCATCCTTGAATGTTGCATCAGGTTTTATGTCATATGATGTAATGCTCCGTTAGCAAATGATGTAATCATCTTAATAAATAGTTTTTTCTCTAATGAAAATTAGAATCAAAATTCAAAGCTTTTGAAACTAACAATTTTTATACGTCATGGAGATTGTTTTCATTCCTCGTGAAAGGGAAACGGAGAGAATTTTGAATACTTGATGTTGACATTGTCAGTTTTCGTTTTCTTACATTCCATTGATGAGGAGTTTGACAATTGACAAGGAAAAAAGAGCATTCTTTCTGGTAATGTTAGAAAGAGTCAGAACAAGGAAGAGAAGGTGAAGAAGGATAAGAAAAAAACACAAGATTGTAACCCAAAAACGAACAAAAATGTGTAAATGTGGTCCAAAAGGATCTTGACAACTATGGGGAAAAAAATTGAGAGTACGAAAGACAGTGTCACGAGCATGTTGACAAGGTAGCTTCTGGAATCACAACAGGGACGGAAATTTATTGCTGCATTGAATTGGCCAGGTAAGGAGAGGGGAAAAAGAAAAAAAAAAGTGAGAAATATAGGCTTGTGCATGAGGTCATCAGGATGCAATGCTTGCTCTTCGCTTCTAATTTATGGTGAATTGGCAACAGGAAAATTTGCTTTAAGAAACCATGTTTTCCTTGTATTTTTTGTGTCTCTTACAAATAGACCACAACTGCCACTTTGGGAAATGGAAAACGACCTGAAGAAGAACCTATTAGATTGAGAGTAAAGAGGATCAGAGAGTTAAGAAATCCTGACAGGTTTCCCATTTCAAAAATTCTTTCGAAACCAGAGTATAATTTGCTAACAATCTCATTCTTTCATATATAGTTATTTCGATTCAATTGACTCTTAATTTAATTTAGTTGGGTAAGCTTTTTTGCAGTCCATATCAACTCTTTTATGAAGGAACAGACGAATGCTCAGTGGCCACTGCGAAATCCAAACAAAGAACTGCTTGCGAGCACATGAGCTGCCTGAAAGTGGGTCATGTGATGTAAAAGTACTATCCAGCTCCATTTTTTTTTTTATAATCAACAAAACTGATCAGTATAGCTGTTGAAATTGAAAACTTTGTGAGGATAAAACCCCGTACAACTGGGGAACTTATAACCTTACTACACATGACAAAACAAATCATCCCTCACCTAATTTACAATCTTCACTTTCTGCTTTTTTGCATAGTGGTTGTTAGATTGCTTTCTAACTTATATGCATCCTTTTCTGTCGTATTAATATCTCGGCTCCACTTTTCATTTTTCAATTCATGAATTAATATGATTCGTACCATCTTCTTTCTTTTTTTTTTTTTTTTCTTGGGTCAATTCCAAATTTCATCAAATTGATGATATGATATATGTAGAGAGAGGGGACAGGTCTTGTTATTTGCTTTCTTAGGTGGCCAGTTATCTTGCATCCATCAGCTTCAGTTTACCCTTAACCCGATGAAGCCTTCTTCTATGACTGAGATTGAGGCAGCAGATCAAAGAAGAGAAGGGTTTTGAATGAACTGAATTAAAGTCATTTATCTTGACATCTACATGCGTTCTTTTCACCTTCTATTTAATTTGCTGCATGTAAATCTAGATTGAAATTAATCCGATTCATTGAATAGATGAAAGCATGCATGTACAAAGCATTAAGTTGAAGTTTTTCAAATTGATAAGATTTTGTTTCTTCTGTCAACTGGGTCAACAATCTATTTCGCTTTCATGATGTTATTGATAATCACCAAGCTGAGCCGTGGTAAGTTGACAAATAGGATGGTACCAGGGAGATCAGAATTCAAATCTATGTAGATAAATAAAAAGATAAAGATTTCAAGTTTCAAGGTCTGAAATCGTTTCCAATTTTATTTTATTAGTTTGAGCTGTTTCAACAGCTAAAAAATATTGTTAGGGTTGCGTAGGGGCTGACTTCATTCACTTCACTAAGCATATGTTTGGACGCAACTGTACTTTAAATGAGGTGTAGTTAAATTTTAACTATCATCAGTTGAATTTAAATATTAATTTTAGTTAAATCCATTTAGTATAAATTTTTCACTTAATTTTTTTTTCAATCATAATTATAATAATTTTTTTTGAATCACAACTACAATAATTTTTATTATTATTTTTAATTTTATCAAAATCAATCTCAATTTCCATTCAAATAAACTAGTTTAGAAGTACTAATTGATTAACTAGGTATCCCTTTACGCGCAAAAAGTTGCCTACCCATTTTCTCCTTTAATTACATACATTCACCATTATTGATCAATTATTGAACTTTTTAAACGCTAGTTTTGACCAGGTTGTGTTTCTAGTTATTCATTAATTGATAGTTATGATTGAGACCTTAAATGACTGATACAGTCCTCTTTCCTGGAATGGCATATACAAATTAAGACAGAAGAAAATCCTACAGAAACCAACGGAAGTGGGATAGGGTTACTGTCTTTTTGTGATCTGATGTAATGTCAACCTAATCCCACGAATCACCATGAAGACAACGTATGAAAAGAATGAACCATAATAAAAGCAAAACACTGTTTTGAATGATTTGCAAATCACTGTTTGGTTTTTAATGCTGGACTCTTCTGATCGATCTTCACTTCAAATATCAAAACTTACCCAAACTTTGTTAAATCAAGTTGAGAAAATGAGAGATGACCATGAACCTGGGTAGCTAGGAAGGTTACATATTTATTTATGAAAAATCACTGTTACTCCATGAGATCAATTTAAATGGGAGGTGTTGTTAAATCAATTTTGAATTTCTAAACTTAATCACTGAATATCAAATGATATTAATCATTATCAATAGTATATGTTATCTTGATATAGAAAAAGGTATTAAAACAAGAAAGTTTGAAAGATTTCATTAATAGAAAAAAAAGATCATAAGCATTGTATTCTTTTAAGACAAACACATGGAATATGGAATATAACCCAAGCATTTGACAACATTACAAGCGAGCCATAGAGAGACATGTTGACAGAAGAAACAAAATTTTTTTCATTTCCCGGGGAACCTAGAGCGCATCAGATGCTGACCCTGGCCTTCGAAAACTATTAACAAATGATTAAAAGCATTTAAACATAACTATTTTCTTTCTTCTAGTCATCTTTTTGTTACTGTTTGATTTCATTTTAGTTAAACAAATGGGATTAATGGAGGAGAGGCCATGGGGACTCGAGAATAGGAGAATAAATTAAAGGGAAAATTCAGCAAATAAAACGGGGATTTGAAGAAAGAAAGAACAAGAGAAGAGAACAAAGCTTAACATGGAGCAGAGGCCTAGACAAGGTCACGTCCGTAACATCACGTGACAACAACCATGTTGACGCCGAGGAATATGGTCTTTATTTTTTTATTATTATTATTAGATTAAATTTAGGTTTGTGGTTTGCACGCGCGGGTGGGTCTTGACAGCAAGGATTTTTTAGGTTAAAAACAGGGAGATTTGGACAAGGGGAGGGAATAATAGCGGGCATCGGGGCATCAGGGGAGATTACACATTAGACAAATACACTTACCCGTTGAATTGAACGTTTAAGTTTGGGTAGAGTCTTTGACTTCCCACTTGCTTTCCTTTAAAGTGATCCGGACGCGCCTCACTTTTTATATGGTTAAAACTCATGAATTTGAGGCTTTATAAGAACTGTTCCACCCCTCCCCCAGAAAAATGTTTTATAACGATGAGACGATTGTGTTTGGACGAAAACTGTATGCCAAGGTAGCAAATTGTCAATTACACAAATATCTTGTTCTTTTTTGTAATTTACATTTTTTTTTATAAATGAAAATTTTATTTAAAATTCAAAAAGTTAGATACCAATATGCTACATATAAAATAATAAAGATGTTACAAAAAAAAAAATTTAACTTTATTGGCTTATTCCCCAATTTTCACAAAAAAACTCTTTGTATAGTGTTGATATTCATTAAAATAACAAAAGAAAAATGAATTCTTGCATCAGCAATAATCAATTGAAAATATTGTTTGAATTCCTCTTACGAGCTAAATATTTTTCATAAATTTCACTCTTGCCAAACATAAAGATAATAGGTGTTCTTATAAACCCCATCAATGAGTAAATTAATCTCTTTTAGATGTATAGTTGATGATATATAAATAGTAACTTAATGTATGAGGATAATGAGGTGTAGTAGCTAATGATATGAATGAAAATTAATTATTAAATATAAATAAATCATTAATGAAAAGTTAATTAATCGAGTTAATTAATTAATTTGTTTGTTTCGATAAAAATGGTTTTAAGTTTAAATTTTACTAAATATTTTTTCTTGATGCTAATTTTAAACATTATCTTTGTGAGAGATTACCTACTAATTCCCAATATTTTTATGAAAAAATGTATATACAAGGATAGGATGAGGGCAACTGAAAGAAAAAAAACATGGGAAAGTAACAGAGCAAAAACATAAATGAAACTAGGGTCAAACAAAGAGTTGCATGTGGGTCTGCGACGCTGGTGTCGCCGGACGCCCCAGCCATTCTGACACTGCTACTCTCTTAAATAGTTCCACACATAATTTGATGTTTGGCAACTTCTTCGCACGTGTACAGCTCAATGCTCATTGGCAATTCGGGTTAGCAGGGCCCTAACCCTACTCTACAAACAGGAGTTTTATGTTTAGGTTTTTACTTTAGCCAAAGTTCCAATCCAACTCCTTTAAAATTTGAAACCACACTTGACCAAAGCTGGCAAATATGGTCGGTTGATTCAAGAGTTTTGAAGAGCTGGGGTGAATCTGAGACCTCCCCATTAATTACTATCCGTTTGTAGTTTTGTACTGATCATTATTCGGGGGTTTCTATTTTTAATCATAAAATCAACTGCCTCATAGCACTAATCAGGTTTTTGATAAACAAGAGAAAAATGGTAAGTATGTTTTGGTATATATAGCATGGAATTAATGATTATAATTGTGCTTGATTATGAGTTTGTCGCTTCGTTAATTCTCTAAAAACAAATATCAATGTCGCAGTAGCTTGAGCATAACATCATGTGATAGGCGGTCAGCTTTCAGAGATAGAAGAAATTTTTTTTAGAAGTTTATATATGCACGTGTCCATGGAAAAGTTTTATGAGACTCAATTTTCATTCCAAAAATTCCTTTGAATAATACCCTTTTTGTTTTCTCGATTTCCAACCATTCCCTGCATAAATCACCATTAAAGTATCCCTGGATGCTAACTCCTTTGTCATTCCCTATTATGAAGATCTTCTCTCTCCCTTTCTTTCTATTTCTTTGGGGGGAAAGGTCTCTGATCCTTCTTTGCATCCTTAAACACACAAGTTGCCCTTTTCACTAACTTTTCCTTCTAACCATCATCCCAAATAAAACTCTGTTACTTACTTTCTCTTTTCCTGCAATTTTTTTTTGGTTTAATCTGACTGGTTGTAGTCTCTGCATTATTTTAACCTCTGATCTTTCCATCTAACCTGGAGGAGTGGGGGGATCCTACTAAAAAGCCTATATTCTCTCCTTTTTTTTTTTGTACCAATCCTATGCTTTCTTCACTCACTCGCTCTTTCACCCACAAAACCCATGCAAATCATGAAGTACTCATGATATAATCACAATTCACAACACTTCCCACCGTTCCTTTTCGGCTCTCTTTATTATTTCTTTACCTTCGAAGTTCTAACCCCACTTTCCTGTCGATTTTCTTTTCCCTTTCCTTTTTTTTTTGGGCACTGCCTCGCTTACACTTATCTTCATTCACTCTCTCTATGTATTTTAATTTCTTGTCTCTGTTAACTTACCTCCTGCAGGGATTTTGACTAACATCCTCAACTTTTCGTTATGTTCACAAGCTCAAACACTATAATGAGAACCACACATTTGCCTGATCTATCCTTGCAGATTAGCCCACCATCGGTTTCAGATTGTAAGGCTGAGGACGATGGGTTATCAGGAAAATCAATCTATAGTGATAGGAACTCAACGACTGATTCTGGCAGTAGCGGAAGCGACTTGAGCCATGAATATGGATACAGTAATCCAGGTCCCGCAGAGCCAACGTTGAGCTTAGGGTTTGAAATGACAGATTTGGGTCCTCCCCATTTGCAGCTAGGAAGAAACCTTAATCATCACCAGCATCAATATCAGCCTCACATCTATGGTCGTGATTTCAAGAGAAATGCAAGAATGGTCAATGGAGTGAAAAGAAGCATCAGAGCTCCCAGAATGAGATGGACTACAACACTCCATGCTCATTTTGTTCATGCAGTCCAGCTTCTTGGAGGCCATGAAAGTATTACTTCACAACCTAAGATATCTTTTCATCTAGAATATATTGGCCTTTTCTCTTTCCTCAGTTAGTGCAAAATGGAAATCTATGTTGGAAAAAGCATAACAAGTTTACATCTTTGTATTGGAAACTGTCACAGGAGCAACACCAAAATCTGTCTTAGAGTTGATGAATGTCAAGGATCTAACCCTAGCTCACGTGAAGAGTCACTTGCAGGTGGGGATACTGTGGGAAATCTTCATTCCTTTGAACTTATGTATGAAAATTGTTATTATTTTATGACTTTCCGTAGTTGTTTTGGTACATTTATCGTGTTCTATTTTTGTATTTCTATATGATTCAACTGTAGTGTGAGTGGAGAAACAAGATGATAATCTTAGCAATGAGGACTTTTTCTCATTATCTCTATGGGTGTTCTGTGTTCATGCAGATGTATAGAACAGTGAAGAGCACTGACAAAGGATCAGGTAATTGGATTTTCCCTCTAAGGAGTACAGCTGTTTTTTTTTCTCTTCTATTATATCTCTTTGTTTGACAGCTAAATTGGTGACCAAGCATGACAGAAACTCAATCATTTGATCCACTATTTACCACTAAAAGAGAACCGTTTGGAACTATCAGACTGACTTGAGTCTAAATATGAATCATTTGCTGGGTGTCTGATAAAGCAAGAGCAGTGCCTCAATCTTTCGTGGATGTTTCAGGTCAAGGGCAGACAGACATGAGTTTGAACCAAAGGACAGGGATTGTTGATTTGGATGGAAGACTGTCTTCTCTCAAACCATCACCAACCTCACTACAACCAACACCACAAAGGACCCAAAGGTGAGGACAGCTGCAACACCTCTCCTCTCTCTGTTTCCTTTTTAATTTCTTTATCCCAGAAGCTGCATCATGATCTTCTCTATTTTCAAAAAGTTAAAGATAAAATAATGCCTCATGTAAATGAATGCATTAACTCAAAACGATCTTATCCTTGGCCATGGACTGTTTTGGCCCAACATGTTGTCTGTCATTGTTTATTAGAGTCTCAAGTACATAGATTTTGATGAAGATGACCTAGGGCTTTTAGCTAAGCCAAGTTTTTACATGTTCCATTCCCAAAACAATTTCCATCCATCTCTCAACTGTTTGATTTAATCCCAATATCTTCTAATAAAAGTCAAGTTTTTTGTTCAAATCTCAATGCTGCTATACAATCTGACGGACCTTTCTTTTCTTCATATACATTTTACACGAAGCACCCTAAACTTTGCATGGTCCTTTTACTTATTTGTTGATCTAGTAATTAATTAATTACCATAGACCGCTGTTGCTGCCTCCTTTTGTTGACTTCCCCAAACGATGGCACAGTAATATCATATAAAAGAAAGAGTTTGAAGCTGCATTCGTATTCCTAGATATGTTGAACAAGAGTTGCAACCTTTACCATGCTCTACATTATTTAATCGGATCAATTATCAATTTTTTACACATTTTAAATTAATGAATTAATGGAAACCCTCTTTCTTTGTTTCATCTTGATCATTAAATCATGATATAAACAGTTAGAAATAGATTGTAAATAAGATCCATGTATACTTGAAGGTAGGATTTGGTTTAGCCTAATACTTGCTAGTGCTGGCTTTGTTATATTCGTTCGGTTCCTTTTCTACAAGTTCCTCTTCCTGGAGGATGAGACTGCAATATTTCATCTTACTTGGTGTTTCCTTACTTGTTTGCAGCGGTTCATGGCTATCCTCAACGGAGGCAAATAATTTGAGCATATCAAGCCATGGAAATGGCTCGACTTTTAAGCCAAATGATGCCAAGGTAAGATTGCATCACTGAAAACAAAAACCAACATGTTGAAAATTCAATTTGCTATCATTGTGTCAATTATCGATCGTATGATTAATTTTGGTTTTGCCGTAGGCGGATGTAGACAAGCCAGTGCTTCATCTGTCGGATCGAACTAAGCAAAAATTAGATTCTAACTCTTTGCCACCTTCAGACATGTTCCTTAACCTAGAATTCACCCTCTGAAGGCCAAGCTGCCAAATGGACTATGCCGAATCTTCAAATGTTAACGCTCCTCAATTGTAAGACACCATAAAACCAGTTAATATAACGTTTTTTAGAGTGAATTCGGGGGAAAATATCTAACTTGCACGAATTGATTGTTCCTTGTTTTCTCAATTTTTTCTGGAATGAAAAAAAAAAGTAGTAGAAACTAGAAAGTGATCTGACTCAGATCAGATATGAAAATTTTTGCTGTAAGCGATCTTATTCCAAGTAATTCTGATGGCATTGTGGAAAAACAACTAGTATACTAAAATCCAGCAATCATCTTAATATTTCTGGGCCATGTGGTTTATAGTCTTTGCTGGGGTTCTGCATACTTCCAGGAGGTTCCCCAACAATGAACAGGTGGGTCAAGCCCTAGTGCGAAATATCTGGGGCAGCTTATGTCAATCAATTTCGCACTCGGTTGCTCTGTGAACTTTGAGCTGGGCATGGCCCTGCATGTCTTCGTGCATGGATATGGTTAATTATAACCAAGATTTGAATGCTAATGTCTCATAGAGGGAGCTGAAGGGCTCTGGCCTTGAAGTATTAACGTACGATTTGAAAGAGAAGAAGCTTAAGGGACCGCTAGGTTCGACTGGTTTTTCAGTCAACTATTGAAATCCTACACATATTCAACTTACTGGGATTTCTTTGTTTTCGATTAGCCAGGAAAGAGAAGAACACGCCTGTATATATACGTAGTATATATATCATGTGCAAAATTACAAATATATGTCGGCAAAATAGGCTGGTGGTTATTAATTCTCCAAACACAGCCAATTTGGTTGAGGTCCCTCCCCTATTAAATCTCAACTTGATCAAATTTCATGATAAGGGAAGGCAAATCTTTTGAAAAAACAACAAAATAAACAGCATACAAAGTAGTAACTATACTTCATAATTAGGTTTGACAATATACTTTTACATCTTGTAATTAAAATTGTTGATGTAATTTCGATCAGGTTTGACACATTCTCCAACTCTTTTTCTTTTTTTGGTCCGACATTCTCCAACTCAACTTTGCTTGAAACAAAACTTACGATAACTTTGAACATGAAATAAAAATTAAAAGGATGTTTATACCCTGTTATATATGACAGAGTCATAAATGGAGGCACACGCTCACAAAAGCCATTACAAAAATGCAAACATATGATTTTCCCCATTGTTAGTTGTCGTGTAATGCCCACGCCCCTTTCTTCATCACTGCAGTGAAGAAATCAGAAAATGAAATATTGTGCATTTTCACTTGGATATATGGTGTACAGTCGCTATCAATCTTGCATTACCCAAGACTTCAATCCCTGCCTGCCCTGCCTCTACATTTTATTGAAGTAAAAAAGGAAAGAAAAAAGGCCCGTCAGATCCAATCTAGATCCTGTGCTGTTACGAGGTGGGCTCCAATGCTGAAATCAAAATTATTATGGGCCTGTTTGACTCTGTCTTCAGCCATTAGGCCTTTCAAAATTTGGGGTCCAAAGAAAAAAAGGGTGTTAAAGTGTTGGAAATTGCGAACTGACCCTTGTTTTCGTCGACAATGATTGCATGGTTGTCTGTTGCGTTGAAACTGTGTCCGTCAAAGACATCGTTCTTTTTTGGAACACTTACCCAACAAAAAGCGAAAACTCCTGACAAAAATTTCATCATTTCCAGTTTTATCTTAACTTTTTTTAGCTGTTCTCTACGAAATTTCCAAGCGTTTTTATCATTACATATACCATCCTGACCCGTAAAAGAAATCTTTCGGACAAAATACTTATGTACCCTGTGTTTCCATTTCTTTCTTTGAAGCTTCTTTCTTGTGTTAAGCTCTTCTGCTTTTCTCATTTTCTTCTTTTTCCAATGTATTAAATTCTTTTTTGGTTTCTTTTATATGTTTTTGGGTATTTGTTATAAATTGCAATTTTGTATACCATACAGAGAGTCTCCAGACAAATTATAGATCGTACATATCTTTTTATCAATGGATTTGTGGTCCCAAATTGAAGTATTTGATCGGATGGTGGTGCTATTATCCCAAAAGCATTGAATTCACTGCAACCAATTAACAGTACAACAATTCCTCTTACATCACAAGACTTATATTGCAATGTTTGATACACTGTAACATTCATTGTTCTTTTGGTTCTGAAAATGAAATATTTAAAAGTAGGTGGTGTTTTCAGTTGCTAACCAACCTTGATTTTTTTCTTAAGAGGTGAAATGCCTACTACGATGCTGATGTTTGTGAATTTTATCCATGCTAATGGAAATGTACTGCTGGAGAGTTGCATTCAGGGTTTTAATAAATATCTGGAGAACAGATGACATCAAGTGATGATATGCCTCAGAAAATTGAGAAATGGTAAAAGTGGCAAGATTCCTGCATTCATGTTTGGTAACCAGTACTACCCAGGTCAGGGGAGAGTTGACCTTCGTGGCTTATTTCATTTTGATGTTACAATCTGGAGTATGACATATTTGAGACAGAGATGTGACACGGTTACACGGTTAACAATTTAGCTTGCTGGTCTAGAGATGAATTAATGCCCCATAAGACATTCTTTGCAACATTAGAATATTCAGCAGATGAAGGTATGAGCAGTTTCTGCTCCGAAATAGAACAAGTGATAGGAAATCTTTCTGAACCTAGTGTAATATGTATAATGTCCGAGCTATTTTTCTTTCCTGAAATAATGCAGATTCTAACACTTAACTGGAATAATAAGCTAATGTGCGGCTCAGCCGTTTGCTTTAAGCTATTCTCACATTATTCGGTCAGTGAAAGTAGTAGGGCTTGTTTAGTCATTCTATTGAAGAACTGTGGGATGACAACCTTCCCAATACTGCTGCATGGTTCAGGCTAAGCTTTTGCTTATATTCAAAATTATATTTTAGATGTGTTCCATTGACATTGAGGGTGATATAGCATATTTAATTAATAATTAGTCTCTCAGTAGTCATGGACGCACAAATTCATATACACTGAGGAATTGATCAAGGCAAGCCATGTCCCTTGCCAGAATATGTTAAGCACCGGTATGCTTCATGCGGACTTTAGTCAATTTGCTATTGTCTTGAACATATAAATAGACATGAATTCTTTTCGTGAGTTACTGAACCATGGATTCTTTTCTCCAATTAATTGCCATTGCTGTCTGTCTCTCCTTAATCTTTTGCTGCAAGGTATTGCTTAGAAAGGAAAAGGCTAATGTAGGTGGCAAGACTAGAATGGCCCCTCAACCAGAAGGTGCGTGGCCAATTCTTGGTCACCTACACATATTGGGCGGCAGTGATCAGCTTCTTTACCGAACACTTGGAGAAATGGCTGATAAACATGGACCTGCATTTACAATCCGCCTAGGCCATCGCCGTGCTTTTGTGGTTAGTAGCTGGGAAGTGGTAAAAGAATGCTTCACAACTAATGATAAGGCACTAGCTTCACGTCCTACTACAGTAGCTGCAAAGCACATGGGTTACAATTATGCTGTGTTTGGATTTGCACCATACAGCCCCTTCTGGCGTGAGATGAGAAAAATTGCAACACTTGAACTTCTCTCAAACTACAGGCTTGAGAAGCTCAAGCATGTTCGCATTTCTGAAGTTGACATGGGGATAAGAGAACTATACAGTTTATGCTACAACAATGGCTCCAGTCCTGTGCTTGTTGAACTTAAACGGTGGTTTGAAGACCTGACACTTAATGTAGTTGTTCGAATGGTGGCTGGAAAACGTTATTTTGGTGCTTCTGCTGTCTGTGATGATGGCGAGGCAAGAAGGTGTCAAAAGGCAATAAGTCAGTTCTTTCATTTAATTGGTATTTTTCTTGTTTCAGATGCACTTCCATTCCTTTGGTGGTTAGATGTACAGGGGCATGAAAAGGCAATGAAAAATACGGCCAAGGAGTTGGATAATATACTTGAGGGCTGGCTCAAGGAGCATCGTCAGAGAAGGATTTCTGGTGGAATAAAGGCTGAAGGGGAGCAGGACTTCATTGATGTAATGTTGTCCCTTCAGGAAGAAGGTCACCTCTCGAATTTTCAGTATGATGCAGATACGAGTATCAAGTCTACCTGCCTGGTATGTTGAATTTGAAGAAACAGAATAAAGTTAGAGTTTGATTTATGATAACATTTGTTGGGCCTGAAAAGGACAACCATTGAGTGGTGGAGGTTACCCAAGAAGGTTATGATTTTGCCTGTTGTATTATTAGAATAGTTCTTTTTGGGCTTGGTCTTGACCGGTGTGGCATGTTGAAGTATTTAATTTAGTGATTATTGAGAATCACAAGCATTTCATACTACTCTTTATAGCTGAGAAGCTGACTTTTGTTAGGCAAGCTTACTTCTAGATTAATGTTCTTTTCAATTTCATGTAGGCACTTATCCTTGGTGGCAGTGATACGACTGCAGGGACACTGACATGGGCCATATCCTTACTTCTGAATAATAGTGAGATGTTGAAGAAGGCTCAAGAGGAATTAGACCTCCAGGTTGGCCGGGAAAGACCAGTTGATGAGTCAGATATTAAAAATCTTGTGTATCTTCAAGCCATCATCAAAGAAACCCTACGCCTTTATCCAGCTGGTCCTCTATTGGGACCCCGGGAAGCCATGAACGACTGCACCATTGCTGGCTATCATGTCCCAGCAGGCACCCGCTTGGTTGTAAATGTGTGGAAAATTCAAAGAGATCCAAGGGTGTGGTCAAATCCATCTGCATTCTTACCAGAGAGATTTCTCACGAGCCATGCTGATATTGATATTAGAGGTCAACAATTTGAACTTATTCCTTTTGGCTCGGGAAGACGGTCATGCCCTGGTGCTTCATTTGCTCTCCAACTTCTTCATCTGACACTTGCTCGTTTTCTTCATGCATTTGAACTGGCAACTCCTTTGAATCAACCCGTGGACATGACGGAGAGCCCAGGTTTAACCATTCCAAAAGCCACCCCATTGGAGGTTCAACTTAAGCCGCGTCTCCCAGCTAATGTCTATGCCTAATAAGCTGGGTTTGGAGGGTGGTTGAAGATGTAACTCAAGTGAAATAAGACCAACTATAATGGAACCTTTTAGTTGATATCATGATATGTTCTGTTATGTTTTACACTTTCTTATTTCTATTAACAAAGCATCGTCTTTTACTTATAAAATCTTAAATTCTAAGATCTCCTCTTTGTGATGCTTTTGGTCTAAGACTTAATTAGGACAACTGAGAAAAGACTGAAACTCGGATGACATAAAATAGTATCCCAAGGTGGGAAAGAAATCCAAGAGGATCATGCCTTCATGGTAATTTGGTTTATGATCTAGGTATTTCAAAGGCCATTTGGTACGAGAAGAATATTGGAAATAGTGATTCAAGTATTATAATAGATTCATTTGAAATTTGTTAGATATTACTTGATGAATAAAAATATTTACAAAAAAAAATTCTAAAAGAAAAAAAATTCTTAATAAGTAAGTTTGACTTACAAAAAAAAAATTTTAAGAGGAAAAATATTCTTAATAAGTACGTTTGTGTGATTATATATAAATTATAAGAAAAAGATTAAAAAAGTTATAGGATTTTATAGGATAGACATCTTATAAGACTATTGAAGATTTATATTTTATAAATATGTATGTTTGTATGTTTATGAGTAGACTAGAAAAAATTGAAAGAGTCCACATAATTATATTGTTTGAGTGCATATAAATATGTATTTATTTGTGTTGAAATGCTTCGTAGAACTTGAGAAGATTGAAAAAAAGATTGTTATGGTCTTATGAGTATTGATTATGGAGTGAGGTTGATTTAATTTGTATGTTTGTAATTTTTTACAACTAATGATTTTTGTTTTTCTTTTGCGGATAGAGGTTGGTTAGATTAAATCACGTTAAATTGTTATCTCTTGTATGTTTAATTAAATTGAAGCTTTTGGCTTAACAAGTAATATCAGAATTGTAGTGAACTCTAATAGTAATATCAAAGTTACGGTGATCCTTAACAAAGAGAATGACACATGAATTTGTCATTAACTGTTGAAAAAACACGTGTAAAAATGAGTAGATTAACAAAAAAAAATTAAGATAGAAAAATTTTAAAATAAATTAAAATTTTCAAAAAATATTCTATTAAAGATATACACATGCTGATGTAATTCCAAAATCTTTTAATTTATAAAATAAGAATTTCAAAAAAAAATTCATAACATTCTAGAAGTAATGCTTGGAGCTCAAAAACATCAACAAGTCTAACAATTAATATTAGATTATTGAGAGTTTCAAAAGACATAATTGTCAAGACCCAGCACTAATATTGGTTAAAAGCATAAAATTATGTTTGGTAAATGGTTATGTGAAGTATTTGGCTTTGAATTTGAATAAAAGAAAGAAGATTACTCTATAATTTTCATTTCTTAACCGCATGGTTTTGAAATTAAACTAGCAAAGTTTTAAGGTTTCTTTTCTTTTTTATTGATGGGTGAAGGACGATAATTGACAAAAGTATTTTCTACATGTAATCATAATAATAAGTGGATAATGTACTGCTATTTGATTATTGGACTTTTAATTTGAATGATAATTTTAATTATATTAACAAAAATTTTCAAATTCAATATGGTTTGGTGGAAGAAATTTGTATTTTATTATAAATTTGATAATATAAAATATGATATAAAAATAATACGAATAAAATATATATAAATAATATAATTTAAAATTTTAATAAAAATTATAAATTAATTTATCAAAAGTAAAAATAAATTATTTTATATTTTTATGTTCACGTAAATTATAATTTTTGTATAAATATAAGAATAATATATAAATTATTAATATTTTATATGATAAAAATATATAAATTATTAGATATATTGTAATTAAATTATTTGAAATGACATCACGATTGAAAATCCCAGTTGTCACGCAATAAAAAGATGTGGACAGCAACACAAAAAAAAGATGTGGATGACAACCCAAAAAAACATCCCACCATATTATCAATTATCCAAGTCCACAAAATAATCTCAATCATATATCCAACAGCCAAATTGCTACCGAATTTCTATGGACCTGCACCTTAGTCAGAGTATCATCGAACCAACCCCATATTGTCCATGTATTTCTGCAACAAATCCAATAAAATCAACTCTTCCGTATACCAATATTATAACTAATATTCCATCAGGAAATAAACGTGCACTACCAAACAAATTACCGTACTAGAGAACTTAATGCAAGAATAATTCCAAAATGGTCATTGTAACTTCATTTAAATATAAAACAAACGTTTATTTGGTTCAAATTTAAAAACAATAGCACTTACAAGTATTTTTCATCCCTAAGTTCCATCTCTTTTAATTTTTTAATAATAAGATCATTCTCACAATTCGTAGAAAGACCCAATGACTACACACTTGCTTTAGACATTATCCCTGCCAAGCACTTACAAATTCTAAAAGGATATCTATCAATAACAAATTTATTAATTATCTTACCAAAATTTGAATAAAATTTTTTATTTAATTGAGTCTTCAATTAACCTAATTTTACTAATTTGATGATTTTTTTATAAATGATATTGTAATTTAAAGGTAAAAAAAATTATAAATACTTAGATTTAAATTTTAATATAAAAATTTATATTTTAAAAATAATTATATAAATCAATTAAATTAAATATTAAATTTAATTTGATAGCAAATTTTTACTGTTAAATGTTAATGAGAAAGCGGAAAGTAACTATGTTGCTAAGTATACATATTTCAACAACTTAAAAAGTTTATTATTATTTTTTTTTGTTATTCTTATTTCTTGTCAACATCTTCATAATATTGCTATCCCGATGGGAAATCCAACTGGAATAAATCAAAGGCCCTCATCCATTATTTATTGTTCATAGCTCTAGAAATTAATGTAGCAATTACTAGCAATGGATTGGTTTCACTCATTTCAAGCAACTTCAATGGTTGCAATTCTTGCTTTTCCACTACTGCTCTTTCTTTTCTCTCTTCTATGGATGTCAAAAACTGCCTCAAGAAAAACAAACAAGATGAAAACCGCACCAGAAGCTGGTGGCGCATGGCCTGTAATTGGCCATATAAGCTCATATAAGCTTGGCCAACATGGCTGACAAATATGGAACAATCTTCACTATCAAGTTGGGTGTGCATAGAGCTTTGGTGGTGAGCAATTGGGAAATTGCTAAAGAATGTCTCACCATAAATGATAAAGCATTCGCCACTCGTCCAAAGCTTGCTGGTACGGAACTTTTGGGCTACAACAATGCCATGATTGGCTTTGCGCCATATGGACCTTACTGGCGTCAAGTGCGCAAGTTTGCCACTATTGAGCTCCTCTCAAACCACCGGCTCGACATGTTTAAACACGTGATGGAATCCGAGATAAAAGCATCTTTGCAACAGCTATATCAGCTATGGAACAAGAAGAAAGGCAACTCTGGTAAAGTTTTGGTGGAGATGAAGAGATGGTTTAGAGATGTTACTCTTAACGTGATTCTGAGGATTATTGTGGGAAAGCGAATTCCGAATTCCGATGAAGACGGTGAAACAGTGAAATGGAAGAAGTCATTGGACGACGTCGTTGAACTAATTGGGAAGTTCGTGGTATCAGATGCGCTACCGTTTCTGAGATGGTTAGACATAGGAAGGGAGGAGAAGCTCATGAAGAAGATAGCAAAAGAATTGGACCAAGTTGTTGAGGGATGGCTACGAGAGCACAAGCACATGAGAGCTGAAAATGATGGCAAGAGTGAGGAAGATTTCATGGGAGTGATGCTGTCTATTCTCCGTGATGCAGAGGAGCACGATGCTGATACAATCAACAAAGCCACCAGTCTGGTACATGTATTTCTAAACCAAATACTCATTGCAAAACCTCATTTAATTAACTTCACCTCTTAAATTAATTAATATTTTGGGTACAAAAAATACAAAACAGGCTCTTATCTTAGCTGCGGAAGATACCACATCAATCACAATGACATGGGCTTTATCTTTATTACTCAACAACCGTGAGGCGTTGAAGAAGGTCCAACAAGAGCTGGACATCCAGGTTGGTGTGGATAGACTGGTAGTAACAGAATCAGACACCAAAAACTTAGTTTACCTTCAATCTATCGTTAAGGAAACGTTGCGCCTATACCCTGCTGCTCCACTATCCGTGATCCATGAGGCCATTGAAGACTGCACAGTAAATGGGTACCATGTCTCTGCTGGCACTTGGCTTATATTCAATCTTCAAAAGATTCATCGCGATCAGCATGTGTGGTCAGACCCTTGTGAATTTCGACCAGAAAGATTTTTGACTACCCACAAAGATGTTGATGTGAGGGGACAGAACTTTGAACTGATTCCATTTGGCAGTGGAAGAAGAATGTGCCCCGGAGTTTCATTTGCGCTTCAGATTTTGCAGCTTACACTGGCTAATGTGCTGCATTGGTTCGAGTTTGAAACACCGTCAGATGAACCAGTTGATATGCGTGAAGGAGCAGGATTGACAAGTCCTAAAGCAACTCCGCTTGAAGTTCATATAACTCCTCGACTTCCTGCATTCCTTTACGAGTGCACCAAATAATTATGTTAGTTTTATAAAATAGCATTCTAAACTTCTAAGACGTTTCATAGTAATAAATTAGATGCTTTGTTCGTACTCCGCTGCTTGAATTAATATATTTGCATTACTCTACTTTTTCCTTATTTCTTTAAAATCTCAAAAAATTTATTAATGCTTAGAGATATGTAAATTTCGATTCTAATCAAATTAATAAATCGAATCATTTTAATTAGGTTAATCGTTAAATTATCGAATTAAATTTATTTAATTTTTAAAAGTAAATTTAGATAAAATTTGATTTTCGGATAGTTTAAAATTTGAATTAATCAAATAATTAATCATAATTTATTACATTAAAATGTACCGATTCATAGCTAATAATTTATATGTTTTTTTTTTATTATTTTGGGACTGTCATTGACTCATTGTTACCTAAAAGAAAAATCCCTCATTTTTGCCTTTCGCCGGCCGCATCTCATTTGTATCAATTTCCTCTCTCGGCAACCAACATTAAATCTAAAGTCTGAAGCTGTGAAATCCCTTAACTTAGAGTTCTCCTTTTTTCTCTCAACTCTCATTCTTTCAATAGTCAATGAATCTCACCTCAGTCAATAGATAATGAAGAAACATGAGGAAGTCCGAAACAAGATTATTTTAGATAGCTGATAGCATCAAGTTTAAGGTGGCTTCACTGCCCTCTCCTTTTTTGGCTTTTTGTATCTCTTTTGTTTTTTTTTTTTTTTTAATGTAATTATGTTTAGATTATCATTGCTTG